TTAAGAATTTTGTTAAGAAAAATAAAAGTTAAAAATATTTTTATTTTTCTTTTATTGTAATATTAATGTGAAAAAATATATAAATAATTTTAAAAGGGAAATTTTCAATAAATTTAGGGGGAAGTATCCCACAATCAAACAACCCCTTAAATTCCCTTTTAGCTTAATTTAGGCATGATTTTGGTAATTGTGGAAGAGATTCAATATTTGTTTGGAGTAATACCTTTTTTCTTTTTTTCAGAATGATACTTGGTGAATGGAGATTGTAGTTTACTAAAATATCTACAATTCTTAGGAAGTTGGTATAGTACTTAAAAATATCCATTAACTAAAGATTTTAATAGTTCTTTCTTTCTAAGCTTTGTTTATGCATCTATAACAATGGCTACAATTGTTAATATAATTTTTAGTACATATAATTTTTTATATTTAATTATTTTTATTTGTCACAAGCACTATTTTTGTCAGCATTTAATACGTTTAAATATGTTTTTATTTTGACTATAAATACCGCAGCATAGAAATTTATACATGAAATAGATTTTATTATTTTAATACAATATCTAGTTTTTATTAAAAAAACTTTTTGATCACGACTTTTGGAATGCTTATTTATTTGGAATAGAAGCTAGGCCAATGCAATTCTTGAAAAACAATAATGTTTGTTTTTTGGTTAGAGTACAGGATAAAAAATATACTTTACATATTAAAATTAGTAAAATACCTTCAATAAAATTTTTATCCATCTAAATTTATTATTAATATTTTAATTTTTGTGCGATCTAAACAAAGGACACCAATTTATATGGCGAAGCGGAGTGGTGTTTGAAAACTCGGGAAAAAGCCCTTCTTAAGCCCCTCAACTTTTTCAACAGCAAGTGACAAGCCCCTGAACTAAAAAAATGGCAAATAACCCCTCCAACCCTATTGTAGGTGCAAATCAGCCCCTCCGTTAACTGACTTCTTGACGCCGTTTATCATCGGCTTCCGTAGTATTGCACCTGCACGCCTTTGCATGTTTTCTTCTTTTACTTTACTTTATTTGTTTTTAGTAATAATATATTTTATTAATTAATTAATATTATACAATATATATTCTTAAGTATTTTTTAATAAAATAATGATATATTTTTTATTTT